GAAAAAAACAAGATGCCTAGATTTGAAATTCCAGGGGCGACAAATGTTAGGACACAAACTAAATAAGAGAACACAGTGTAACAACCAACAAGTCTTTTATTCATCATGAAACCAGCAATAAATCAGTGGAACAGCAGTTGTCGTCCGGCGTCCTGTCCTATTTCTTTTCCTTATTAATAATCGTATTCCATCAAAATTAGAGTGGCCTAAAGACATACACAGTCATGTACTGCTCACTGACATATACAACTTTCCTTTTCTTGATGTTTTGTGCAGGTACATGTATCGTGCCTTTGCCTCATTTCAAGTTTGCTTCTAATATAATAACTTGATCTTCCAACATTATTCAGATCAAAGGCTTGCCGCAAACTGAGTACACTGACCCAATTTTTACAAGAGTGATAGTTCATAAGCACAGTTATTACTGTACCTTGATCTTTTCCTTTGAAAATGTAGTTGAAAAGTCATTTTCATCTCTTTAGGGTAAGGTGGTTCATATATGGTTAAAGCATAATAAAACTTAATATCATGATCAGTAAAATACTGTATATAGCAAATCAGCTTGAAAAAAAAATAGGTTATGACCAAAGGTGGTAGCAAAAGTAGAATCAAAATTTGTATATTATTCATTATCCAACTTGCAAACTTTTAGTTTTGTTTGTCTGTTAAACATTTGCCAATGGCTAGAAGTTGCACTGCTAGATTATTATGAACATTATGCATTCATTTTCATGTTGATTTTTGTCATCGGTATGGAGACTTACCATAGTCAAACTTCCCTACAGTGGTTGGGGGCTCTGGTAATCTCTCAGGCACTGAAAAACACAACCAACCAAACATCTGGATGTACAATGACATGTAGAAAACAAACTTAAGGCTTGCATTTTCCATTTAGATTCTGATCTTGACCTAAAAAAAGGCACTCAACCCACTTTCTACAATTGAAACTAAAAGAAATGCAACATCTAATAACTCCTTCATGATAAAAATTGTCATTTATCATTACTAAATAAATCATAGGTACAATAGTGGAGAGGGTGTCTAAATGTGATCAAGGAGATTTAAGTGGAAATACTAGTAACCTCCTTGATGTGATGTTGGCACTATCATGTACCAGATATGAAAGTTTCGTTTGGGTCTCGCAAATAGAAATTTGCAGTTTATACTGACAGCTAAGCTGTACATGTGTAAATGCGGGCTTGTCTAGTATACATTATGTGTATCAACCTTCAGCCTGCTAACTTAGGTTAGTAACCAGTATTTGACACTAAATTTGAATTGGTTAGTAGTAGGGAGAAGGTTAATAAGTACTTACCAACACCAGGTGGTGTGTGGCTCTTCAATATCTCCCTGATTTTGAAATACTTTGGAGTCAAGTCACCAGTCTCTGAGATTGGTGCATCATAATCTGCAAATACATTTTAGTAATTAGTTAAAGAATTGTTACCAAAAGTTTGCATGTTCACGGCACTATATGTTTGCGGTGGCAGCAGGTGCAGCAAAAAGAAAGTCAGCAAATCATTTGTTCATGGTAATGGTCCAAAATATAAATTTAAAGTACTGCAAAAAAATCACAACTAACTGGTACCGGTGTTTGAATTTTCAATTTCAGAAGAGCAGACAATGCAAAGCATTTCCCCTTGACCTCTTGAAAAACGGCTTAGGCCGAAGAGTTGTACTGATACCAACATGTACTGTACATTTCAAGGTTAAATAAAGGTTGAAAAAAAAAAAAAATTATTCTTGGGTGCAATACCGTACTAAGGGTAGCACCTTTTGACACTACTGGATGTTAATACAATGTTAATAATATAAGAGCAATTATTTATTATTATAACTCCCAAAATCAAAAAGATGGTACATGTAACATTTGGGCAAGTGGTAACTTTGTACATTTTCTCTACCCTTTATAAGACAGTACTTAAATACTTTACACTACCAGATTTGAAGATGACTTTTGTTTGACGTGAATTAAAATTCACTATTGAAGAAATATTCATTGACAAGTACAATTGAGGAATGACATAGATGTCCTGTAAACAAAAAAGGATAAAAAGGATAAATTTATGTTTTTACCATAACTAGTGACAGTAGGGAGGGTCCTGCCCCCAGTCTTGTACTGTGTGTTGGCACCATTCATAAAACCAAAGTTTGTGCCCCCATGGAACATGTAGAAATTTACAGAGGCTCCGGCGTCCAGGATTTCTATCAAGTTTCTTTCAAACTCTGCAAGGCAAGACAATCAGAGGCATAAGTCTTAGAGTTTCTCATTGCGTACAAACACACCACACTACAAATGTAGCAGAACTAGTCTGAACTACACAGAACACATTTAGAAAGAAATCATTGTCTTACAGTACAATTTGAATGAGAGTGTAGATTGTGTTATTGAAACTTCTTGTAAGAATTTGATAACATGCATGTCTATAGATTGAGATGTTGTATCTTTTTCATATGGATGCAAACCTTGAAGATGAAAAGGACACACAAAAGAAAAACTAGAAATGTAACATTTTTACAAGGTGACAGGTAACAACAAACTATATTGTACTGCTCTGCCTATTTTGACTGAAACTAAGGAGGTTAAAAATGCCCATAGTATGTAGTAAGTGACCATTCTCTCCAGCTCACCCTACCAGCTTGCTACATAATTTATTCAAATATCATATATGGTGAGCAGTTTTCTGTCCTGCCACTTTGCTAAATTAATGCTCATTTGCTAAATCAAGCACCACTTAATAGTGACAACCATCTGGTCCAGGACATTGACCTGATTTGTTCGGAAGAAGAGGAGGAAACAGAGCAAAAACAACATTTTTTTTGTGTGAACATGATAAATATATATTATGATAACTTACTTTCCAGCCTGTAGATGTGGTGGTCCTCTCTCCAGTGGTCAAACCAGCCGGTCCAGTATTCCATCACCATCATGGGACGGTCAGGCTGGGTGTTCAAGATAGAAAACAGAAGACATGTCACCCATGATACATGTATATACAAAATTCCCATCAAAAAGAACATGAGTGGAAATTAGCCAAAGATGTAGAAATGAATACCAGTAAATGACCATATCATAAGTCCATCCTGATGAGTATTTCAGTCCTATTAGTAATGCATTATTTGAACGAAAATGATCAAGTTGTTCTCAAAACTACCAGGACATGGTTGCTGAAGAATGCAGGTGTGGTAAGATCAGAAACAAGAACATTTAATATCAAGTATCTATCAGCAGTAATTGGAAAAAGGAATGTTGTAAAATGGTTTGTAAAACTAATAATATTTTCAGCAAAACTACTGGCCAGAAGTTTAACTGTAAATGGAAGAAATTATAACACTTAGTGTATGATCATCACATGATGATGATGATGATGAGTGTAAATTACCCACCTGCATTTCTTTTAAATTTTGTAACCTGTGCGTGGCATTGTCCTGGAAGTTGATAGTTTTCAACACTGAAAAAAAATAACAAATCCATGTCAGACTACTGCAAGCTGTAACAACAGTTGGCAGAACCTACTGCACCTATGCAAAACCATACTTTCTGTTGGATGTTTGGTCAACATGGCATTATCATAATGATTTTGTCTGTTGCATATCTTTTCCGACACATTTGAAACTACAGATGGGATGTCATCCTTAGATATGCAAACATAATCATGTCAAATGATACGTTCATTAAAAGTTCTGACAACATGCTTATAACAATGCATCATCAATGCAACTTGTTGTCATATGTGCACATTTTATATCTAGTATGAATTTTTTTAATTAAAAAAAAGCTGATGATAACGTAGGATTTTCACATCCACCATGATGTTGGATTACAGCGAATGTCTACTAACACATGCCAACATGCTACTACTTAATCAGTTTACCTGCCAACACCTGGTCACCAAGATTCATATTATGATAATTATCATGATGTCAAGGAAAAGTCTCTATTATGATGAAGACCACTGTACCTCCTGGTACTCCTCCTTTGAACAGGCCACCTAAGTTATCTGATGTGAAGAGAAGCTCAACGATTCCCCTGGACTCCAGAATCTACATGAGAAACAATTATAAGAATATAAAGTGAAAACTAAACATGACTGCACGCTAGTTAGCTCAACATGCTGCGAATTGAACTTCCAACCTCTTGGTCCAGAGGCAGGGTCACTAACCACTGGACACTGCAGGCTACTGATTAAAATCCTGTGGTACAACATGTATCATGTCGAAATGAAACATATCTATTCAGCATTATTATTATATGATAATAATTACTGAACTATGGCATGTAAATACACCAGGTCCTGTAAATAGATATGTATTGAAAGCTGACAGCAATATTCAGGTAAGATAACCATATTTTCAATAAAAAGAAGAGATATACAATGCACATGAATAGCTTCTTTTATCCTCACCTTTTCCAGCCTTTCCATATAAGCTGTGTCGTTGCCATACGAGCCATACTCATTCTCTATCTGCACAGCTATGATAGGCCCTCCATTGGTGTACTGTGGAGTAGAAAATGATTTTATCAGAGTGTTAGCAAACTACAAAAAATTGTTTAAGACTCAAGAAATAAAATTTATTGATTTATTTAATCTATAGATTATTTCACTTAATCTTAACCCTGCTGTCTCAGACCCCATACAACGGTGGTGCCAAATGGCCACTGTAGCACTGGCTGGGGGTTAAAATTGCATAAAGCACTGTGAGGCAATTTTGTTGGGTGAAGTACCAAACTTTTGTTCATAATCATTATGTTCCATCAACATGCTAATAATCACACCACTGAAATCTTTAAACTGAATGTGCAAATCATGGTGGTTTCAAGGTCACCTTGGTCAATAATACAAGTTACATCAGATCAGTATTTGATTACATTTTCATTGGTTAGACATAGCTAGGCAGCCATCTTGAATTAACAGTTCTCAATACTAATCACTACCCATCTATCATTACGTGTAGCATACTGTAAGATGAATTTATTTTCGAGTTACATTTTGCGGTAGGAGGAAAAACAAGGTTTTTGCAGCATTTAAAGAGTGCAGTTGAAATAATTCTGTTCGAAGAATTATAAAAGACAAATTATGATTTTAGATTTAGAATAGAGGCTCCCCCTAAAAATGTGAAATATAAAACCACACTGGAAACATTTCTCGATTTATGGTATATGTGGTACTCATTACACCTACATGTACCATCCAGGATGTCCCCTGGTGTCCACTACTGAGTCTGTGTGTTTATATATCCTGCATTATGATATGTGTATGGGTGGTTGTTGACAAGGATGTGTTATAATACCTGACGTGGCACCACCTCAGCCAGTAGTCTCCCAAACCACACCTCCACAGGATCCATAAACAGTGGACGGGTAGTCCTCACATGTTCCTTTGCAGTTGCCAACCACCTAAAAATAGTAAATAGAACACATGTCAAAACACTATCCAGTCTGTCTATCTTTAAAAAGGCCATCTGTTACAAAATTGTTTGTAACAACTACTGTACTAGTATAGATGTAATGTTACCTTCTGTGTGCTTTCATTTCGTGTCACGAAAAGAACACAGAAGCATTGCGTCAGGCCTACATTACATGTAAATGTGTGTTTTGTTAGATTATTGAATGTGATATTATAGATGAAGCAGATAAATCAAAGCTATAATGATAACAATATCAATCAATTATTTATGCCTTAAGTCAGTTTTTGGTTGCTGTATAAAATTTTCAATATATATTTCCCTTCCTGTTGGAATACAGCCGAGAATGAAGAATTGGAAAATACTTGAATGTTCTTTCTTTCCCATGTATTATTAGACAATTTACCCTGGCAGTCCTCCAAACTCCCACTCTGCACAGATGTAGGGACCTGGTCTGAGGATCACCCACAAGCCAACCTCGTGAGCTATGTCTAGATACCTCCTGTGGAAAAAAAGAGAGAACTTTTTGTACAATGTCATGCATGTGTACCTGTAGTCCAATGGTTAAGCAACCCTGCCCCTGGACCAAGAGGTAGGGAGTTCGAATCCCGGCTGCTGTCGCTCATCCAACATGCACACTACCAGAAAGGGTCGCATGCCCTTAGGACGGGATGTTAAGTTGTGGTCCACTGTTCATTGTGCTTGTATAAAAGAGCTAGGAAATTTTCCCAGTACAATGAACCTGTAAATGTGTATATGGTGTCTGTCTTGACCAGTGGAAGACTGGTTCATAATCACTTTCTTTCACGTGCAGACACAATTATTAATATCACGAATGGCATCATTTTGTTTTACGAAAAGCTTTTTAATATTTGATGTTTCTCTCAAAAATATTTTGTTGAGAAATTTCCATAGCAGCAAAACTTCAAAAGTTGTTTGTCCAACTGATATAATCTAGGACTTTTCAAAGTATGTGTACACATCCTGTTGTTGTCATCAGCATCACTTCTGTCTATTGTTCAGTGTTGTGGTATGTAAAATATAACCGTCTCTTCAAAATGAATTTGGAAAGGAAAGCAAAAAGGAATAGGAAGATTTTGTTGCACTTTGGCAATGTAAAGACTCGTTTCATAATTATAGTAATCTAACAATGATGTATACTTACCCAAGATCTAATATTCCTTTAAAGTTATATGTATACTTCTTGGGTTCATGAAGATTCCAAGGCACATATCTGGATGGGTGGAAGGAAGATGGCAATAGATTACCCAGTATTTCATCCTCAAGCAATGTATTCAGGTTTGAATGATATTGAACAATAATCATGACAATAATATTGTTATACAACCTCCTGTTCAAACAGAATATCACTGGTTACATATAAGTGGAATGTGCACATTAGGATATCTTTAAAACCCGAAAGGTATTGTGTAATTAGCAATAAGGATATTATTTGCATAATCAATTAGAAACCTTAATGATACATAAGTCATAACGATCAACATCATTTGACAAATGTCAAAGGTGTGAAGTTGTGGAATTCTCTAATGAAAACTGTGAAAAATCCAGGTACAGTACGTTCTGCCGATGTGCTCCTATTATTGATAATGTCCTAAAGACTTACGTCTCAAGTGTGTTCAGCCCAGCTGCCTTCATCTTCAACATCCTGTCTCTCCAGTACTCGGGCACGACTCGGAAGTAGTGCATGGCTCCGGACAGAAGTCGGACCGGTTTCCCATCCAGGGTGAAGTTAGCACCGTCAGCCCGCAACCCCATCATACGCTTCTTCGCCACTCCCCTTTCGTGAATGTCAACGTCGGCGACGTGAAGTTGTTGTCCTAAATTTTTTTCCATGTCCAGGAAGACGGTTTTGGCTACGGGGGATTTGTCTGGCTGACTGGAGATGTACCAGGACACGATCACGATAACCACGACTGCCAGGATAGAGATTCTCTTCAGGTGCACAAGGCGGAATCGAATCGGTCCCATGCTTTGTGGTTGCTCCATGCAATTACTTTGCTGTGAGAGGAAACAAAAGATTCAATATATTGAAATGCATGGAAAAGATAAAAGGAAACCCCTTCATTACTGAAATAAACAGAAGTGTACAGATTGAACTTTTGTCACATGATTTAAGAACAGAGTTTTTAAGTTCTATATCTGCATTTGCCACTCAAAAACAGGCTGTTAATTATTATCCAAAGTCAGAACTTACAACAACTGTACAACAAATGCTGACACAGAGTTCAACCAAATGAATGTACATTATACAATGTAAGAGGGTACATATAGCCTTGCCATAAGTGTTCCCACAACTTGAACAAAGCCCTGATGATATAAATATTAAGATTTTCTATTTTTGAGTAACTTGCATTATGCACGCTGATTTAAAACGCCTCAGGTACATCTAGGTTTCTAACCAAAAATGAGAATTTATAACATCATTGCAAAAGTTGCATGCAATTTTCTGTATCGAGCCGCAAATTATCAAATCACAGAATTTCACAAAACATTTGTTCATACAGACTGTGTTGTAAATATATAACAATACACATTGTAACGTTATATGTAAAGTTATATATATATATAATGATGATGATATATACACATATACACATATATACGATCAGGTCACCTGCTGCAGGTGCATGCAGCTGTGCACCTGCCTGGATCAGTCTTTGTCAAAAAGTCTCCTCGCAACAACAACGTAACCACCACCTCGTATCCACAAATCTCTTCCAACCTTCAGGGCATAGTTGTCAACGTCGACACTCCAGATCTCTGCAACGTAGCCTCTTAAACTTTCCTGCTTTGAGCTGACACGTCGTCTAGTTTTTATATAAAGATTTAAATCACATAAATCACTCGTACTGGTCGAACTACACACAGGTGAAATAGTTCTCTGACCTCGTATGACCTCTGACCTTTCACCTCAGCCTCGTACCCAGGGCTTTCTGCAAAGTGACCTGGACACGAGATAACCCCTTCCCATCATCCTCTCTTGTTTTGGCGGTGCGGAAAAAAGAAAAGAAGATCTCCCATCGAAATATGAACCTAGAATTACTCGGTATTTTAATATTTCAGCTTTCTGCATATCGCATTTTTTGCATTTGTTTGTGATTTGCTATGTGTATGATCTGGTTTTGTTCTCATCGCCTTTGTTGTATTCTTCCTTTTCAGAATCGTTCGGACAAAACTACCCAGAGGTAAGTTAGTGTTGCCCCCCTCCCCATTTCAATAGTACTAGTAACTTGTATACAGTTCTTATTGCGTTCGATGGGCTGTGTTGGCCTTCTTCTGTCTAAAACCGCTTTCAAGGTAGCAGAATACAGTATTTATCTACGACCCGCAATGTCTAGAATACAGACCTTTCCAGCAGTAAACTACTTAATTTGTACTTTCTGCAAAGAATTCCAGACGACTATCTGAGCCCATGCCACGGGTAAAATTCAGGATCAGAGCAACTGGAACCAAAACAAAACATGCTGTTTGTTAATTTCGCATGACCCGTAAGCCACCTTTAGGCATAACACACCAGTTCTGTACATGTTGCAAGTACAGGCTGCGTAAGGGTTGAACCACTCTCACCGGGAAGGTCCCCTACTCTTTTCAATAAGTGTGGTGGTTTCTTTAATGTGCATGGGGTGTGGCTCTCCTCAAACACGGGACCTCCATTTAAAAAGGACACAAGATCAGTGACATGGCAGGATTCGAGCCGAACACGCTTCCGTATACGCCACACGATTCCACCTTTCCTCCTCAATCAGCCCCAGAAAGTTGATTAAGCCAAATATAGGCACATTTACTTGAATGTTGTCGTTGAACTCAGACAAATCACTATTTGCCATTATGCAATATGATGTAATGAATATCTGTGTCATTTTCTCAGGAGGCAGATGGAACCCTGGACAGCATCAGCCTGGCCATCACCTGTGCCTTTAACAGACGAGGCACGCTGCTGGCCGTGGGGTGTAATGACGGGAGGATTGTCATCTGGGACTTTCTCACCAGAGGCATCGCCAAAATTGTCAACGCTCACGTGCATCCAGTCTGCTCTGTCAGGTGAAGAGTCATTTTGGCCTTGTCATCCTCAACTGAAGCAAAACATGATGCTTTTTCTGATAGTTCATAGGGCAATGCGGTTTCTGTTCCAAACAAATAAAGTCAATGACCTGGACCAGACGGCTGTTACCATGGTAACTGGTGCTGTAACAGACACCCTGTGGTGTTGGATTACATTATGTAGCAAGTGGTAGGACAGAGTTGGGGGCTCAGGTCACCATATACTAGTATATGTATATAGAGCAGAGAGTAGTTTGTTGGGCAAGACCATGTGAAGGTAACATTATGCATTTACTAAATGCAAATGTTGCCTCTCTACTATAAATTCTAGTTAAAGTCTTATTCATAATATATATTACACCCACCCCCAGCTGGAGCAGAGATGGGTACAAGTTACTGAGTGCCTCCACAGACAACAATGTGACCATCTGGGACGTCCTGACTAGTGACTGTGAACAGAGGTACCGCTTCCCATCACCTGTTCTCAAGGTGCAGTTCCATCCACGAGACAAGTAAGTCCTCCAAATCATTGTTCTTTCCCACGGGTAGCTTGTTGGTAATTTACTGTAAATTACTTTGTGTTTGTGCAAGCAAAAGGTCACAGTCTGAGAAAAATGGACATGTTTGCAGAATTATACATTTGCTGTGGCAGCAAAAAGAAAGTTGGCACATTATTTGTTCATGGTAATGATAAGTTCGTGGTACAGAAGTGCCATAAAAACCTCAAATATAAAAGTGCCGCAAAAAAATTGTGATTTACAGCATCTCTTACAAAATTTGGATCCATGGATATTTCGCACTCAAAATATTAGGTTGTGCTGTGTGACTACATTTTGTTTGATGCAACCTGTTTGAAAGTCTGCCTAGATTTTGTCATAAGGATGCCCCTTCTACCATTGAACTTTGAATTTGTTGCCATAAGAGATACAAGGTCCTGTTGCCAACAATTTCAAATACAAAAATCTTAGGTGTGATGTCCGACAGTCCTGTGATTCCATCTCTGCTGTGACAAGTTGTCCTGTTCTGCATGACTAACGTATATGATGTTTCTATTCCATGTTACAGCTCTAGATTCCTGGTGTGCCCCATGAAACATGCTCCTGTGCTGGTCTGTAGAGACGGTGGACACTCAGTGGTTCCTGTAGACGATGATGTAAGATCTTCTACAGCTATTCATACATTATTTTGTTAGTATTAGTGTTAGCATCAGTAATAATTGTAATCGTGTATCTGTAAAATCTTATTCTGTTGTGACCTGTACGGTACCTAACCCATTCATGATTGGGTACGTTGATGAAGGTTAGATAACCCATTGGGTATGTACAAGCTACATGCATGTACAATAAAGGTCTTCATTCTTTCATTCATTTTCAATGCCCCTTTATAATCTTTCGTTTTTAGTGCAAACAAATACAGGGTATATAATGCATACATGTATGTGTCAACACTTAACAATGTGTGCATCACGTTTTTTTATTACAGTCTGACCTGAATATAGTTGCATCCTTTGACAGAAGAGGAGAGCATATTTATACGGGGAATGCCAAAGGGAAGGTGGGTTTGATTTTAAGAAGGTTTCATCTCTTGGCGATTTGTGATAAAAAGATAATGCAGAACAAAAGCATATCTGTAAATATATATGTATTGTAAGTTTTTTGTAACATATGCCCAAATAAATGTAATCAATAATTATTGGTTCTCGGATTCACCCACTTTTGATTTTCAAAAAAAAATTCAGGTCCTGAATCAACTCTTTAAGGCTCATATTTAGGCCCCAACAGTTGAAGAAAGTATTTTTCTTCCTAGTTATTACATTTTTTCCATCTATCAATGCAGTTTGTTGATCAAAAGTTTTAATTTCATTGTTTGAATGACAAACCAGCCTGGTATGTTGACTTCGTAGCATTTGAGGATATTGGATGCCTAGGCCTGTTTTTTTGTTTGTTTGTTTGTTTGTTTTGTCCTTCTTATTTTTCTAAAAAAATCTGAAAACCGACAAATTAGAATAACTAACTGAACTACTGCACAATATCTTGACAGTCTTTTCTTTGGAAGTCATCCAGGCCCTGTCTTTGTTTTAAAAGGTTACTGTATTAAAGACAAAGGAGTTGGAGCTGGTGGCATCCTTCAGAGTGACAACTGGAACCAGCAACACCACCGCCATCAAGTCTATAGAGTTTGCCAGGAGGGGCAAGTAAGTTGTTTCCGTGCAACCACAAAGCCAATCACTTTTCTTATAACATTTTCTGGGAAGTTGCAAAGCCAATCACTTTTATTGTAACATTTTCTGTGAACTCACAAAGCCAATCAATTTTCTTGTAACAGTTTCTGGGAAGTTACAAAGCCAATCACATTTCTTGTAACAAACAATAAGGAGGTTATTACTTTCTGCAAGAAGATTATGTCTTTGAACACCTTAAGAAGTCGTGGATGAATCGTAATTTGGTTCATTTGGTCCATGGGTAGGTCATCTTGATCAGGCCTCAAAATGATAAGATTTTGGGCCCCCTAGCACCTTGGTGTCACACTGCAGGGTAATTTCCAGTTTGAGTAACTCATGTTCTGCTCCTTCTGGACATGCTATGGTCAAGACCTATCATGGAAGTTCATCTGTGTTGGTAGTAATCATCATAGTATGATACTGAACATTATTCCAACACAAGCCAAAGGGTACACATGGTTCAAATTTTCAACGACCACTGTCACCTTCATCAGGATAAGAATTGACAAGTCACTTGTGTCTGAATAAATTTCAGCTTTGTACCATGCATAATCAAGAACTCTTTACAAGGTAGCGTGCCTTTACCTTTAACTTCAGAGTATACAGTGCAATTTTGCGGAATACAGTGCAATCGTATTAGTATACAGTGCAATTTTGTATACTAACGGTAATACCATTGTACTGTATTCCGCAAAATTGCACTGTATACTAGTAAAATTGCACTGTATTCCTTAAAATTGCACTGTATTCCATAAAATTGCACTGTATACTGGTGGCACCCCTGAACTTGCTTATTTTCTCCTTCACCTGGCCACAGCACATTCTTAGTGAACACAGCAGACCGTATCATCCGTGTGTACGAGGGGGGAGAGGTCCTGGCCTGTGGGAAAGACGGGGAGCCAGAACCCATTCAGAAACTACAGGATCTGGTCAACAGGTAGGGGGTTCTTAGAGTTAGGGGGGCTTTCCTTTTTTCGTCGGCAGAATGTATACTGCATCTGCGCAAAACCTGTGATGCATTGTGCCTAGTCTCATATAATGCTTTATATCATACCCGGGCCGCAATAATTTGATAACGGGTTCCCGGCCAGTCCGTACTTTACAGTTCCATAGAATGATTGGAACGTGTTTCACCCTAACCGCGTTCGCCGCTTTCAAAAATTTGAATACGGAAGTCGAACACTTGAACTGGTGTTTTTGCATTTTAGGGTTTAGGGACACCAAGTTTTTGCTCATTTTGCATTGAAAGGCGCGTTTTCTTAGATGGGTTTGACATAAATAAAATACAGTACAACACGGTATATTCCGCATCGCCCTCGGTCCCGGCCCTCCCGCGAGTCAGATCGCCCGACAGCCGGAGTTGCGTTTGGGCCGATACCTCAGGCGATACGGAATACCTCGTGTTGTATTCTATATGTTTTTGCGTATATAACTTATAAGGTTAACACTTCCGTTTGTAGTTTCTAAATGTTGGAATGGCGGAAAAGATATTAAAATATCCTTAAAAAAACACAATGATTTCGTGATCTATACCTTTAAGTAAATCGTTGCATGCCAGGCCCTGCTTTTTAGACAGGTAAACACAGCTCATTGCGTCTTGTTTTACAGAACGCCATGGAAGAAATGCTGTTTTTCAGGAGATGGGGAGTACATTGTAGCAGGTATGTCTTTAGTTTGACTGCATGAAACATATTATGTAAGCTGCAGATTTACTACAAGGCTCAAAATATCACCTGTATATATGCAGGTCAGGACAGGTAAGATTGGAGCTGTGCAGGTATATCTTCTACCTGCACACACCAGGCTTATATATATTACTAGGTGTATGTGGATTTTTATTTTCTGCATTGACTGCTACCATCTATGAAATGTAAACGTAAATAATGAAAAATGGTTTTTGAACAGTTTTACGGTGATCCATAATTGTTACCTGTACTAGTGCAAGTTTGCAAAAAAAAAAAAAATTCAAGCCCTGTAATTGTAGTATTGTATCAACTTATCTTAACAGATTAAATAAGACTGTGATGTGATAAACATTTTATTTCCAGGTTCTGCCCGACAGCATGCCCTGTACATCTGGGAGAAACAGGTGGGAAACCTGGTGAAGATCCTACATGGTACCAGGGGGGAGCTACTGCTGGATGTGGTGGTAAGAAAACTGTTTCTTATAAGGAAAGAAAACAAATACGTCTGTAAGAAAAGAACTCCTATTTTCAGCTACCGAATGCCTGGATTATAAGCATGATAGAAATGTAAAATTCACATGGTACAACAATGATAGAATTGACAAATCTTTTCAACACAACACAACAAAAAGTTAGCTACTGTTGGGAGCTTTCGATACGTACTCTGTCTCTTCTTCAACCCGATAAAAATCTCGTCTTGGAGTTCTCTTGTCACATGACTTGATGTGATTATCATTGATATAATTGTGAAATGGGGGGGGGGGGGTCTGGGAGCGACATAGCCAGAGTTTGAACTCATGACTTCTTGATCAGTACAAAGGGTCACTAACCACTGGACAGTATCAGTAGAAACTAAAAAAGTATTATTCTTTCTTCACAGTGGCACCCAGTCCGCCCTATCATTGCATCAGTGTCCAGTGGTGTTGTGTCAGTGTGGGCACAGAACCAAGTCGTAAGTACAACAGTCGTTATCAAGTATCTAAGTATGTAAGTAACTAATGCCAGCTCAGATAAGAACTTGAAACAACCATGCCTTCATGTACCAGAGCTATCAGTATCAACCAAGCCATGTAGTACAATAGGGGCATTATCACAGCTTTAAACACTGCTTACGATTAGATGTGCAGTTGGTCAGTATAATACAGCCAGCCACTGCAAAGCTGGTGTGTTTTGCTGAAGGACAGTTATACCAGTTATACAGATACAGAATTTTTCCCCTTCCCACTGTTCCCTGTAGGAGAACTGGAGTGCCTTTGCTCCAGACTTTAAGGAGCTGGATGAGAATGTGGAGTATGATGAGCATGAGAGTGAGTTTGACATCGAGGATGACGACAAGTCAGTAGAAGAGAAAGAAGGTGAGCATCAAAGCAATTGTCAAACTACTAAATTCTGAACTTTGACACAATTGTAGAACGTACTGCACCTGCACGAAATATTGAAGGTAATGTGTATGCTTGCACAGAACATATCATTAAGGGCATATTCATGTATTAAGGATGATATCCCGTCTGTAGTTTTCAAACTTCTGATGCCACATTGACCAAACATCCAACAGAAACAGTACATTCTGCTGACATGCTGCTCTAGAAAGAATTACAGTGGACCTAACATGTTTTGTTTGCATTGGTGTCAGCCAGTCGTTTGAGAGAGTTTGATGTCAGAACCAGACTGGTACATGTTGATTTTTTTTTTTTTGCAAATTAGAAAAAAAATGAAGGCTTAGTGCCAAAGGTATAAATGCCCAAGGTGCCCAAGGGAAAGTGCCCAACCTATAAATTAAGTTGTTGTGGCCGTACTGATGTCCATCCTTTTTTAGGTCCTGAGGAGGAAGATGAGGAGGTGGATGTGACGACCGTGGACGCCATCGCAGCCTTCTGCTCCTCAGATGAGGAGGACGACAACGACAACTCCCTCCTGTACCTCCCCATCACTCCTGAGGTGGATGATCCCGAGGAGGTCGGCTGGGGGCCTCCCCAGGAGGTAACACTCAAATTCTGCTTGTTTGTTCATTTGTTTCAAATAGCTGGTAAGGATTGCCCCTCTTTTCAATAATTCAGTGGTGATTTAGAAGACAGGACCTTCTTTTACATCCCCTTAGAGAGGACATCTCTAACTGAAGCTAGTTACTCACTTCCACCTGAGTGAAGTTAAGTGAGGAAGTAGATGTCTTTCCCTATAGGACACAACATTGAAGGCTGCTAAGGATTTAGATTCTAAGTCAACTCTAACCATAAGACCACCTTTCCCAATGTATTAAGTGTCTAGTACTAGAATCTGATCTACATTTGCCACATATAATATCCACCTGGTATATCTTAGAAACAGTATGCAAAGTAACTTTTTAAGGGCTTGTAAGATTCCTTTTAAGGCAAAGTATGCAGACTTTTTTTATATACCATATTGCAGCTGTACTATATCTTTGAAGGAGTGTGTATGTAACTTGAGACACGGACACTAGGGGGACATATGACCAGCAGTGGTCAAAAGTTGCTTTGCATTTGTCAAAGATAAGTGTCATTGAAGACAACAATGGTGCTACTAGAAACTGTCAAATTTCTGGTGCAGGTAATTTGCAATATATGCAGAAAAAGGAATTTAAGCCCTGCAACCACTGAAACCTAACCCTCTTCCCTGCCCACACAGCAACCTCCACAGGAAGAGGCAGTGGAGACCAAGAAACGTTCCCATTCCAGTCACCAGGACGGCGCGCCCTCCCCAAAGAAGAGGAAGGTGAAAACCTACGACATCCACCTCCAGGACGCACCCGCAGACGGTCAGTAGTCAGGGTGGGGGGCATGAACTACATGTACATTTAGCATGTCGGCAGAACATACTGCGCCTGCCGTAATGTATTGTGCATGGCACTTTGGCATAACGTTTTGTGTTTGTGTATTTAAGGATGATGTCAAATCTGTCATCTTCAAATGTTGTGTTGGAGAAGATATCTGCAGGTGGCAGAATTCTGATGCAACTTTCACCAAACAGGTTTTGCACAGGTGCAGTACATTCTGCCTACGTGCTGCATGAACTTAGCAGTACCAGCTAATATACAGATACAGATACGTAACAGAAGTCAAACTGTTTCAACCAGTTCAAGTTTCTCTATCACTATCAGACAATTTACATACTGTGACATTACATACTGACATTCAGTTGGCAAATTGTGTATGTTGCTATTGACTGCTGTATTGTATGTTGCTATTGACTGCTTATGGAAAGTTATCATCTGTTTGTATGTTTCTTTTGTCCTTCCAGAAATCCACCCACTGTTGTGTGCCAAAGGTTCAGAGGGCAAGGCGAAGAAGAAAGCCGGCAGGCCCAAAACTCACGGCAAAGTGGGCTCGGGCAAGTCCAAGGGCACGCGGGGGGCAGCAGCACTGGCAGACATCACATCAGGAAGGGTCAAGGACCTGCCGGACAGAACAGGCTCTGGGACAGACGGTGGGTGTCTGGTGATACGTGGAGTTCACACAGGTGGCTAAGGCCAGACACTGGATTCTATGAATCGGAATCATTGTTCGGAATGTTGTGAATGTTAGAATTTGCTTACTACTTTTTCTAACTAGTGCAATGGTCAAGTGAGTATGGACTTCAAAATTGGTATATACTGCTTTCTCTCAGTATGGGAGTTAAACACACACCACTACCAGCTAGTGCAGTGGAGTAGCCCCCTGCTGTAGTGATTGCACGACTGTGTGACCCAAGGGCTATACAACCGGAGATGGGTGCCACCCTTTCTGCCATTTAACTTCTTTTTAACTACTTTATCTGCAGGTAAATCTGATGTACTGACAACAGCTGACTCCATGGGCAGTCAGAGTGAGGGGGTTCTGGTGTCTGACACTGTAGCAGTGGAACAGTGAGAGGCAGTGTCAACAGTGGCTTAACAATTAACATCCACAACCAGCTTGTAAATGAGACAGACTGTGACCCTGTTCATATACCAGGCTTCACATATCCTGCTAGTTTTTTGCAGGGTTTTAGCCTGATATGTTTAGCCGAGTATGAATGCGAAATATCCTGCTTAATAAGGGTTTTACCTGAATCCAGCCACTGAATGTACCTCGATTGAATTTATCTGCAAATTTACCTTAAATCCTTACAAAACAGTATGTTTCGAATTCATACCTGGCCAAACATATTCAGCTAAAATCCGACAAAAGAATGTAGTGGAACATGTGTGAAGCCTGGTATGAACTGGGTCTTTGAGAAAGATGGAGATTTTCTGTACATGTCAACATCTGAACAAGCAAAGCTTGAGAACTAAAATTATCCATGAAGTACAGTGATATTCTCAATTAAAGTTTATTGTATGCACCCGATTATTACATGTAGTTCAACAAAAAACATTTCTGAGGAGTGCAGTCAATACACATGTATGTGATCACTTACTACTACTATGTATAATACATCAACATTTCCTTTGATTTCCGGATTCCGTGCACACCAATTGTAGATTTTTTCTTGTGATGTGGGAAAGTATATTTTTTAGTTTTGTTCAGCAACTCACTGTCTAGTTCTGTGGACTACTGTAGAAGTACTGTTACTTGTATATATTATGGCATCTTACTTATAATTATACTGTGTAGGGTTGAGAGTTCACAACTTCAGCAGGCCTAATGTAGAAAATGTTTCACCAAGACATCAGATATAGAAGCAAGAAAGAAAGCTTTACATATTCGATTACGTACTATTTGTGTTGTAAATAAAGTATTTTATGACCTTAACAATAAAGTCTGCTGTATTTGTCTATTGTTCCTTTGGCAATTCATGGCCTGTTTGGTGTAAAAGGACCACAGCAAGTTTGATATTTTATGGATGCATCAGCTGACCTACACCTATACATGATGACACCTATACTTTTTAAAAGTGCCCCCCGACGACCAAAAATATCATTGCAGATATGCTGATCATAGACAAATGTAATGTACTGTACTCAACGGTAACCTAAAATCACTCATTATTGACAAGATAATATTGCAAGAAAATCAGAATGCCAGAAACACCTACATCAGAGTAACCTTAGGTTATGGGAAGTGAAAGCCATGTGGGTCCTGTCCATATCCTCTTGGCAAGTCTGGCTGGCCACCTGTTGTTTGGTCGTGCTCCATGGCACAGAAGAGTCACCTAGTGAGCGCTGTGGGTTTCTGCATTACCTACGGCCATTCACACACACCCGATGCGAATCCATGCATCACACTGAATGAACACACTGACTCCTCATGTAGTGTTACAGTAGGGGTAATCCTGTGCCTGTTGTTTGGTCGTGCTCCATGGCACAGAAGAGTCACCTAGTGAGTGCTGTGGGTACTACATACAGGAAACTCCCTCTTCATTCCAAAATGAATTGTTCCATACCAACCTTTTCCATGTAGTTCTCTCCAGTAGCAAGTTTATCAATTCCTCCATGCAGTCCGCAAGATGTAGTCCACATACAGTGCTTTTTATTTAGTAAAATGTGCTCAAAACCGTTACATGTAGTGCTTTTCAGTAAAAAATATTCTTGAAACCCCCATACAGTGATTTCAACAATCATTTCATCAACAGTACAAATTTTCACTTTTGCCAGGCCAGATCCATGCCACCTGTATCTGCTTGAACATTATCCAGCCGCGCCACCCTGTATCTGCTTGAAGATGGCATATCCAAGCCACTCTGTATCTACATGTACCTACCCGCGCCACACAAATTTCAAGTCGTTTATGTAACATATGACATATTTGCTCTTTTTTTCGGGGGGGGGGGATTAGCATGCGTGCCCGGATGTCATCCATATAATCAAATCAACATGTGCTAATGGTGGATTAAGGTATTTATGTGGCAGGAACAGGTGTTAAACAGGGCACTTAGCAGAGCTCTACATCAAAGCAATAAAACTGGGATTGTCAAGGAAAGTTAGTTACCAAGGTCATTGATTTGTAATATCAGACATAACACAACATAATACAACACAGCTCACTCTGCACTTCAGAAGACATGTATTTTGTAGTATGGAGTGTAGTACACAATTTCATCTTGTTCTTTAAAAACATCTTTTGTATAGAAATATATAAAAACTGTATGCATACATTGTATACCACAGTAGTCCTCTTTGGATAAAATGCATAAAAATGTACATGTGATCATCCTGGCATATAAATTACTACTGTCACTTTTCTTCTGAATATACACATGTGTCCTGAGTGTATTATACTGCCTGCTATTAAAATCTTTTCATGTGCAGAGAGCTCAGTTGAAAAAAAATATCAAGCATCATTTGACGATGACTAACTTGTATCATAAGCTTTGCTCAACAACCATTTTGCACCAAGCTGGTATTTTGATTTTTTTTTACAAATATAAATTACTATTTGTCATAAATAGAGAATGTCTTTCCTGGATATTCAGCGGCGCCAGCATGAAGTGAGAGCCCTGCGGCAGCGTGAGAAGAAAGCGGCCAGACGTCCCCGCTTCCTGACAGGGCGGACCTGCTGCTGAGTGTCGCTAATCTCCTCTGTCTCCTCCTCATCACTAGAGTCCTCATCTTCACTGGGAAGCTCTTGCTCACTGGTCAGGCCCTCCAGTGTGATCAGTTCGAACTCCAGCGGCTTGATCCAGAAATCAGGATCCACTGACGTGGTCACGACATCCAACAGTTCTAAGGACGTCAGGCCACGTACCGGCAGGTCGTCAATAGCATCCAATCTGCCAACTGGTAGGGTTGATTCTCTCGCCGTTGCCTCACAGTGGAAATACAGCCTGTGCAACTCCTCACCGTCACCAAACAGCTCCTCCAGGATGTGATCATCAGAAGCCAGGAAGCGGTACCACTCTCCGTTGTGGAGTCTGTACAGCACGAAGTACCCACATCTGGCAGGCTGTGGTGCAGGGACAGGAGAGGTGGGCTGTTCTGTCAGCTGTTCCAACTCTGAAGGTCGGGGGCTGAGAAAAAAAGACAACATTAAGTACACATAACCCTCCATAGGAGCTGTTACAAGCAATCACAGTCAGAATATTTTCTGTTCTTCTCAGGCTACTTTTCTGGCTCCCAGTCATTAGATTGGTTTTTAACTGATAACAGAGCAGGAGAAAGACATAGAATAATATATTACATAATACATATCCGGGCTTTACCCATAAATGAGTATTATATGTCCATCACCCCCAAATCGGACTGGATTGCTTTTTTCACCGATCGGACTGGACTGCTTTTGACACGAACCCAGACATTGAGAGGAATGGATAAATCTTCCAACTAATGAATTGGATTAAATGATTTAAAAGTTCTTTGGTGTGTTAGAATCATTCAGACTACAAGAATAAAGGCACATAGAAATGCTGCTGTAAGTACCTGATCACAGCCCTGTCAGTTCCTGGTAGTGCCTGTGTGGGGGTCCCACTGCTGGCAGCTCCATGTGACTGACTGGTCAGGGCCTCATAACCTCGGACCAGTTTGCTCACGTTAGCTGATCTGTAGAGGAAACATGTAGTACGTGGGTTCTAACAACAACATAACTGTACAGATACAATGTAGACAGTACTGTCTGAACTATGCAGCAATCCACTTTGTAACCTAAGGCAACGGTCATCTTACAATACAGGTGTTCCCACTATATACAACAGACTGGCTTCTGGTTTGTAGATATAGATAGCATCCTCCCCCCCCCCCCATGTTCTAACTGTTCTGAACATTGCTAGTTAAACCCAATCAAACAGTTCTTACTCGCTAAACGAGCTGGCCGCATCACCCTCTTGCCCGGGCTATTTTGGAGAAGGAACACAATAAGATCAACAAAACAAACAAAGCAGAGCTAAACAAACAGAACAGAGCAAATTTAAAGCAACATATAAATTAGGGTGAACTTGTGAATAGTTTAATAAAATGAGGAGAACATAATATATAACAAGTATGAGAGGAGAATAATTTGCTTTATCCAGGCTGCTGAAATGGAATCTACTGATAACGTCCTGTAAGATTTAAATTTTGACATGGGGAAACTTGAGATTTCAAACCCTTCAGGCTGGTGAAGAAGAGAGAATACACAGACTAGTTTGATGGTCTAAAATCTCTGCTTCTGACCATCGATGTAAAATAACTTACCTTCAACTTCCCCTCATCACTCTCATTGGTCAGTTTTCTCAGGAAAGTGTTGACTTGAGCTTGTTCAGCCAGTCCACCTGTCTGAGTCTGTAGTGAGCAGGAAAGGGACATGAACAATAAGTAATATTTAATAAGAGCCACAAAACAAAATGAAATCATCACAAAACATCCTGAGTAACATCAAAATCTCTGCTCGGGATGTTGCAAAGCTCATTAAAGATCTTGATGCCAACAAGGCAACCGGACCCGACAATATCCCGGTGGTGGTTCTCAAGAACCTCTCGCCCAAATTGTCTCCTATCCTGGCCAAGCTCTTCAACCGTTGCCTGAAGCTGAGGTGTTTTCCCAACATCTGGAAAATATCCTCAGTCTGTCCCGTGTTTAAAAACACTGGGGAACGGTCCTCTCCATCCCAGTATCGGCCAATCAGCCTGCTCAGCGTCATCAGTAAACTCTTCGAGTCATTAATAAACAAGGAGGTACTTAAACATCTTGAACGAAACAAACTCCTGAGTGACAAACAGTATGGTTTTCGGTCTGCGAGGTCCACTGCAGATGTTTTAACGGTCATTACCCATCGAATCAGCACAGCCCTTGACGGAGGCTTTGTGTCCAGAGCCGTTGCTCTGGATATATCAAAAGCCTTCGATAAGGTCTGGCATAGAGGCTTGCTACATAAACTTGCAAGCTATGGAATCTCAGGCAAGGTGTATTCTACAATTAAGTCATTCTTGTCTGGTAGATCTCTGAAGGTCGTTGTCAATGGTCAAGCGTCAGCATCTCACACCATCAATGCTGGAGTGCCCCAGGAATCCATTCTCGGGCCAACTCTTTTTAATTTATATTAACGATCTACCTGATCACCTAGTCAGATCGTTTACTGACATCTATGCTGATGACACCTCAGTATATGGCCGCACATCCAGGAGATATAATAACGACTCCCTCTCCGCTGACCTTGAACGCACTGTTCAGTGGGGGAGTCAGTGGCTTGTGACCTTTAATCCGTCCAAAACAAAGCTTCTCTCTTTCCATCATAAGAGACTGATCCGAAACTTCCTCCTGTCCATATGGGGGAGACACGGCTAAAAGAATCAGCATGCCTCGATAGCCTTTTGGGCCTCAAACTCACATATGACCTCAAGTGGAACAAAATACATGTACATCCAGTCTGTTGCCAAGGAGGCTGGTAAGATGGTAGGGTCATTGTACCGCACCAGAAAGTACCTAACTCCTTCTGCCATCTTGTATCTGTATAACTATAAGAGCCAAATCCGTCCAAAAATGGAATACTGTTGTCACATCTGGGCTGGAGCTGCACAGAGCTCGTTGAGCTGTTTAGATAGGGTCCAAAATCGTTTGCGAAATCTCGTTGGGAGAGACCTGCACGCCACGTTACAACCGCTTTCACACCGGCGCGATGTTGCTAGCCTGGCGTTACTATATCGATATTTCCACGGCAGATGCTCTGCTGAACTTCACTCCCTCGTACCCCCACTCAGAACATTCTCTGCAAGAACACGCTTAGCCACTTTAACAGCAGAAAATCACCCTTTCTTCCTCAATAGTCCATCTGTCAAGAGAAAATTTCATGCTGACAGTTTCTTCCCCAGAACCACTTCACTGTGGAACAAGCTTCCCCGTGAATGTTTCACCGCTAATTACAACCTCCAACGGTTTAAATCAAGGGTGAATAAATATCTGACCACGCAGTCATCACTGTAACCCAAAACATGTAAGTGGCTCTCAGGAGCCTTGTTTTGAGGTGAATTCTGAAGTAAATAATAAAAAAAAATCCATTCATTTAACACATTGATACCTCTAAGGAAATATGAGAGAATAACCTTTCCTGGTCTAGTTAGGGAATCAAATTGAATGTCTATAGTATATACTTTTCATTTACTGGCACCTCGGTATGAAGTTTGATTTGAAAAATAAGGTTTTCGACAGGTTGAACCCAAATGTTGTTAAGTGGACAAGGTTAAACAACCTCCGTGTATCAGCTTAGCTGATAACTGTAGGTCTTACCTCTACCTGACTCAAGTCGTTCATCGTCGGCATCTTGCGCAGGGCAGACATCGTGTCGTAGGGTTTTCTCCGGTTAGGCGAAGTACACTCGCTCTAATGCAGAACACAGAGGTCATCAAATAAATCCACAAAAGAAATTATTTGCTGGTTTCCACTGGCGGCAAGATGTCTACATACACTACTAACTGTCCACAAGATGTCAGAAATACCCCCCCCCCCCAAAGACTTCGTTCTCTTCCCGTAAGCCTAAAATTTCCTTACAAGCAACAATGACCTTGAGGTCTTATGTGACCTTGCGATGACCAGATTGCTGCGAACTTTTCGTGCTTCATTTCGCCAGATATTAACACTTTTGGACGGTCTGTCAGCCGAAACCTCATGTATTAGTAGAACTCACCCGTAAGATATGACTGAGATTTGCGGATTTTTCGCCAGATTTTACCTAAAACAGGAGAGAGAAAAGTTTCCCACCTGGTTCGTGAGCACGAAACTTGTCGAATGTGTAGAATTTGAACCCGCGTCCATGGCAACACGAGTAAACATGGCGTTCGAACGCATGGGAGGAAAGAACCTGCGATTTCCGTTCTGAAAATGGGAACATCTGCCAAGAGTCGTGTTTTTAAATAGAAATGTTTAAAGAAATATTTTCCCTTCTCAAGTTTTCAGCATATCTAAGACAATATGATTAGATAATTTAAATGGGTCTTAAGAATTGGATGTGTTGGTTTACTTTTTGTTGTGATCTGGGATCATTCCTGCCATTATGGTGGATGAATACAACAGTAGCAATCGGGTTGCGGTTGTGACGAATTTGGTTGTGGAAATGGTGACCTAGATTTGCACAACTCGTTGCTATAAATAATCACTACCAGAATTATGCACATCGCAACTAGGATTACACCAGGGAAGAGACAGAGACTTTCGTTTGGCCGAATTCAGAGTTTTAATCACTTCAAAGAAACTCTGAGAATGTCCTACGGTATGCCCCTCTCCCACGCAAAAGGCTACATGCCTGGCAGCCAGGGAGTGGTGGGTGGGATGATGTGCCTCTCTTTTGTTTCTTTGTTCCTTGTAATTCAAGAGTGGAACTTACGAAGTCTTGACGGTAGTTATGTCAAATTACGTTTTTGAGACAACAAAATAAAACGTTGACACAAAAAGTGACGCTTATCCGAAGGAAGTTGAAGTGCCTTTATGTTTACTACCTAATCAAACCGCTTCTGTTACTGCAGTGATAAGAAAATGTTAAAATATAACATTTTTCTTATTACTGTAAATTTTATTCATCCGTATTTTCGCGGGACTGCGTTTCGCAGTAGAATGAACACCTTCCACACACAGACAAGCATGCCTGTCCTTGGTGCTGAACACCATCCACGAACACACGGGAAAACAAATGTGACTACTTTCCCGGGTACAAAAGATGGACAAAACATTAATTCTACTACTACACTAGAACCGCCCAATCGACGATAGGACTGAATACATGTTACCAGCTTCGATCGCGAGGATAAGCTACGAAACCAACGTGCATGGATCAAAAGCGGCGTCTAGCAGTTCAATGAAGGACTGCACCATAATGTTGGCTGAGCCGCTTCTATTACTGCAGTGACTATTGGCCGCTTAGGGGCGCTTTTGATCCATGGCGATTTCAACAAGTGGTTCAAACTGCAAGGGAGGCGGAGACCGGCATATCAGACATATAAAAAGGCTTCAGTTCAAAACGTCGATATCGTTTGTTGTTGCCGAGATATTTCAATTTAAAAGTTAACGCTAACCCTAACCCTAACCCTAAACCCTAACCCTAACCCTAGCAAAATTAAAATCGATCAATAACATGGAAACCATGGTATCATTGGAATCCCCTTCCGGTCAGAAGTTCAAAACTGCAAACCAAACTTCGATATCGTTTGTCGTTGCCGAGATATTTCACCCTAACCCTAATTTAAGGCTAACCCTAACCCTAACCCTAACCCTAGCAAAATTAAAATCGATCAATAACATGGAAACCATGGTATCATTGGAATCCCCTTCCGGTCAGAAGTTCAAAACTGCAAACCAAACTTCGATATCGTTTGTCGTTGCCGAGATCTAGACCCTAACCCTAATTTAAGGCTAACCCTAACCCTAACCCTAACCCTAACCCTAGCAAAATTAAAATCGATCAATAACATGGAAACCATGGTATCATTGGAATCCCCTTCCGGTCAGAAGTTCAAAATGCAAACCAAACTTCGATATCGTTTGTCGTTGCCGAGATCTAGACCCTAACCC